TATCATTTATTCAAAGTACCATTAAAGTCTGGGTTAACTATTTAATGTCAGGGTTTAGTTTTCGGAATTTAGAGTTTGTTAGGAGTCAAAATATTTTAAAATTTAGGGTTTCAAAAACTTTTAGTTAGTGGTATATTTGAAAATCGACAACTCATAGTGATATTTTTTGAAATGAACACAACACAAATGGTATTTTTGAAATTGTCCCTTAATTTTTAGGGTTTTGATATATCCTATATTTTAACACTTTTACTATCTATTTTACTATGTTTTTATATACTTTAATAAAGCCTTTTGACCAAAAGAGATAGTTTTCTCGTATATATGGATTTTAAGGTCTTAATATGTTTAATCATCAAAAAGATGCAAAAAGGAGAAAAAGGAGTGTTATCTATGATACAACTACTTATTCAAGTCAAAGGAGCCAAGCCAAGTATTTATATCTTGAAGATAAAACATATTCTCAAGTTGGATAGAACGTATATGCCAGAAGTTGACTGATGAACGGAGGACCAAATAAACTTGGAATCAAATGAAACTTGGTGGGAAGATAAAACTTTGAGTTAGTTTTCCAATGAAGTTGGAACGACACCATTTGGAGCTGTACTTTAGAAGATACACTTGAAAAACTGAAGACATGTCTAATTACCTTAGAAGTGAAGCATGTGCAGAAATGAGCCAGGCACCGGGCCGTTCCGTGGGCCGATGATCCAGGCCATTGCCAACATTCTAGAAGCCTCAAGGAAGACCTCAACACCGGTCATGCAACCCGACCGATGTTGCCTCAGTTTCGACGGAAAAGACTCTTTTGCCCGAAGATAACCCTAGCCGACTTAGGACCTCTTAAACCCTTATATATACTTGGTTTTAGCCTCTCTAGGAAGGAAGATCAGCCGGCTAAACAGCCTAAATCAATACCTAAACATGTATTTCGTTTATCTCTTGTTCTTAATGCATCTTTGATTCTAAAAACCTTTAAGGGTAGTTCGACTTTGCCCTATTGCAAAGAGATGAGATCTAATCCCTTACGCTTTGTAGATCAACTATTTATACTATGTTTATTTTCTTTACTCTTGCTACTCCTTGTTGCAAAACATGTAGAATATTAGCGTTGATTTGATTTCTATGCACTTTCTTATTTCTATGTTATCACATAATTGAATGTTTAAGGTTTTATTCTAGAATTGATTATTCATCTCTATTTACACTCAAAGCTTGATCAGGCTTAGCTACCCAGTGACTGATATTAGGTTGATATACTCTCCAAAAACTTGTTATATCTCTGGAACTAGTATTTGATGAGGTAAGCGTCTTAACAATTTGATAGGTTAGTTAAAGAGTTTAGTGAACAATCAAATCTTACACTTTATGCGTGTCTTCACCTTGTAATAACCATACGATAGTTGAGTCTATTAGAGATTAATTTAGCTACTACAATGCGTTTAGTATTTTCTCAATTTTCTCATTACGAATTTATGATGAAATGTATTATCTACAGAATGTGGGGACGGATCTTTTGGTAGCTGAAAGATTATACCAGTCTTGTTTCATCCAAATATTAATAATAAAACAGATTTTGTATTACATACATTACCAAAGGTATGTTTCTCAGACTATGCCGAAGAAACCGCATGATCACGATATATCTCCTCTGCATGAGCTGTAGTTACGTAAACTGCATTGGCGAGCGAGCTGTGCTTTCGGCCATAGAAAACATACACAATTACTCCAATCAGCAGCCACACTGATACACGAGCCCATGTTGCAGATCTGTCATGTTAGCCAATCGAGAGATCAGATGCAAGATTTTTCCAACTTTCTTACACGGTTACTAACTAAACAAACTATCACCAAACTTTTGCTTCTTCTGCTGTCTTGTTCAGCCTAACACATTATGAACTCATCCTAAATACAGCACACCGTTAAGCCTAAACGGTTTGTATTAAAAAAAAAAAAAAACAGTTTTTAGAAGTAACAGTTAAGGTTTAAGTTTAAATTGTTGTTAGGAGAAGACGCAAAAATTTGTAGGGTTTCTTGTCCCATGTTAAGAATTTGTATGTCTGTAGAAACAAGCAAAAATGAATAGCAAATGAAGGAGCATGTGAGCGAAGAGAACTCACCCAAGATTAACCAAAAGGTACATATTGATGAGAATGCATATGATTGGCAGTAGGGGAACAAACGGGCACATGAAACCTATTCAAAAAGAATTTTAACAAAAACATTATTACAAACGACACATAGAAAGCCTTTCATATGCAGAAAATATGCTAAGCAATTTATTTTACCAAATCAATTATATAGCAACATTACCTCCAGAATGTCCAAAAGTATGCCTGGCATCATCCTGATCTATAATACTCAGAGCAATCAAACCAACAAGAAGGAGACTTCCACCAACACCACACAGCGGATATCTAATAAGCCTGTTTACCCATTTAAAATATTTGAATAAAAAAGCTAAGATGATAAGCAATAAATGTTTTGAGGAAAACGCAATGCTTAAAATAGCGATGATGAACTAACCATGGGAAGCTCAGGCTAGATGCCGCATAACTTAGAACGAAGGCCCCAATACAGGTGAACATAATGCTCCATCCAGCCACTATCCTTCTATTTTCTTCACTTAGAACCCCTGCAAAATCAACAACAAAATTAAGTTTGTGCTAAAACATGTATTTTCGCTATAAAAATAGCTGAGACTGGAAGTTACAGCCGCCAAAAAGAAGTTATAACATCAGCAAGCATAAAATCACAAAAAAAAATTGCTGAAAAATAAATTGAAAAACACTTTTGACTGGTCTCAATGTGCATCTAACTTACAACACCCCTGAGCCTCTTGCTTCTCGATAACCGGGAAATGAACTGCAGCATCATTTTTGCCAATTAAAGGCTGTGTACTGCTATTGGAAGTGCCAACATGATCAGATGACTTTATTTCACCACATATAAAGGAAACTGAATCAATTCTCTCTTGAAGAGATGAAGGAAGAGGCAGCTCATCTGGAGGAACGTATCTGAGTATCAACACCGATATCGCCACCATTGTAAATGCCAGAAGTGTCCCAACACTCACCTGCACCATCAGCAGCTCTCAACTGCTTAATAACAGGCCATCTAACAGACCAGGAATTGAAGGGGAAAAAAACATGTTGTGTCTTACCATGCCTGCAAGCTGTGAAACATCCATAAAGAACGCTAAGGTTGCAGCACAAAACCCAGTTGCGACGGTTGCTTTGACTGGAACCTGTGTGCGATTATTAACGTCTGAGAAAATCGAAGGCAGCAGACCATCCCTAGCCATTGCCATCAGAATTCGCGGCTGGAAAATGAAAAATAGTCGTTTTGAGTAATCACACACCAATGAAAAACACCTAATCTTTTCTGTCATTTAATCGTAATCTTTGATACAAGATCTGAATTTGTTGTTCCAGATATCCGGATCAAACATTGAGTCTTAATTAGTATTTCTACTTTACCTGAGGGAGAAGCGCACCCATCAAAGCTGAGCAGAGAGCCATCACAGCTCCTAAAGTTATCAAGTATCTACACGAAAATTCCCAAAAGAAAACGATCAATCTCATAAACATTACTAAGATGGATGAAACAGACTGGATAATAAACAATCATACTTACACGGCCCATTGCATGTCATGACTAGCAAATGCAGAGGATATCGGGGTGTCAGGATCCATCGCATAGTATGGAACTAAACCAACAATAACAATGGAAACCATCATGTAGAGAGAACAACAGAGCAATAGTGCAAGACCAATACCAATCGGTAAATCTCGTTGGGGATTTTTCACCTGCCCATAGATGCCAATAGCCTTATTAGTATTAACGAGTGTTTCAAACTTCTAAAGATGCTTAAAAGGCAAAAACCAAAAAAGCCTCTAACGCACATATACATGCAACAAGAGCATGGATTCCAAAGTTTACCTCCTCTGCAGTACTTGCCACTGAATCAAACCCAATGAATGCAAAGAAGACTGTAGCAGAACCAGCAAACATTCCATCCACTCCGAATGGAAAGAACCTAAAAAGACAATGATTTTGTTTACCCTATCTTTAACTATGGCTCAAGTCTTGATGAATGCTCATCTTACCCTGTAGGAAGTTCATAACCAGCCCAACCAGTCTTGAAGCCCAGATAAGTGCCAGCTACTATGACAAACAACAAGACACACACATTGGCTGCAGTTACAATTCCCTGAGCAAATGTGCTCTGCATAGAAGAGTGTTCCAAATATGAGAATACAGCATGCACAGAGTTGAAATTTATCCTGATGTCGGGATTGAAATCATATAAAACTAGTACCTCCTTTATTCCCATGCACAAAAGGCCAGTTACAACAAACACTAGAATAGCAGCACATGGATCGACAACAACATCAAGGCCTGGGATCTGGTGACGGGCTAAAACTGCAGGCAAACCATCTTCACCACCAAAAATCAGTGCCTGCAATTTTTTTCAACCATCAAGCTTTAGCAACAACGCACAATTATTAATGCTAAACAGAATGTGAAACATCGAAAAAAATGAGAAAATCTTTCTTGTTTTTGTTATTAATCCGTAAGTCCAGTTATATAATAAGAATCGATGGGATAGGAAGCATTGATAGTGCCCAGGACATTTTCAAGCTACATGCTATTTCCTAGCTCAAAGAACACATCAAACCAGATGTTGAAAGAAAATAAATATTAAGGATTAGATAGCTCATCGCCATGGTATGCATGGAGATAGCATATCAAGAAATGGTTTCAAGACAAGAAACCGACAGTAAAATTAAGGATATAAAGAATCCACTCCATGAACAAAACTACGGATGAAAGCAATACTGAGGCCATCAGCAATGTCACACTATAGAGAGGAAACACATGGTCAAGTAAATTGCATTTTGTAACATAGATGAAAAGAGTAGAAGCCAAAAGCTACAGACCAGATTTGGGGATATGCCTCGGGCAACAGCTGAGCCACCAATCGTGTATTCCAGAATGAGCGCCCAACCAATCAACCACGCAACACTTGATAAAAAGCAAAATACCCATCAAGACAGAAACAATTAAGAGATAAGGAAAAAGCTGAGGCAGGTAATGATTACCCTTCGCCAACACAAATGTAAGAATAGTGATAAGCACTCCCAGCTGAGGGACAACGACTAGAGAGTTCAGCATAGCAAAAGGCAGAAAGGGCGGCCGCAATTCCAGCTATAAGAAAGGACAAAGCAAGAGCAGGTCCTGAATGCTCTCTTGCAACTGTTCCTACAAGAATATAGACCCCTGCTCCTATAGTAGCTCCAACGCCTGGTAGAATAAACAAACTTAGCAGTTAATGTACAAGGATTGCTACATCAAAATAAAAGCCAAAACACTGGCATGAAAGTGATGTATGCGATCATGATAACTGCCATATTAGAGAGCATGAGAGAAGCATACAGAAACCAGACTTTGGATATACAAAAATCGAGATGAAACTCAAAGTGGAAAGAACATGCTTATCTATCTAACTCTCGTGAATCCAATCCAATGCAATCGTTAAAAGGTTTAAATGGAAACCCAAGTCTCTAAGCATACCATAGAGAAACATCGGATTAAGAAAAAACCCAGAAACTGTGCAATAAATTACTAGATGAAAATAAAAGCCAAAACACTTGCATGAAAGTGATGTATTCGGACATTCCAGATCACAGATAGTTAGAACAAAGCACATCAATCAATTCGACAAACAAAAAACAGCTTTTAATCTTCGAGATCCTGAATTAAAAGGTTCTAATGGAAAACCAAGTCGAAACTGTGCAATCTAATGCATAAATTACCAATTGCAATCAAGTGAGGAACAGTGAGCGCTTTGGCGAGCTGATGGTGACCCTCCTCAGGTTTTACATTTGCAGAGTCGACCTGTTTCCTTCTTACCAAACTCCTCACGCAACCCCATGAATGTCCACCTCCTTCTTTTTGCGTATCCACCAGAAAACCCATCAAACGACGAAACCTTTCTTGGTGGGATTAATTTCTACAAAAGAAAAAGAAAAAATCAAATCAAATCAAATCTGCCCGCCCCCTCCTGGGATTTAATGGGGGTTTCAGGGTGGGTTTCCTCCGAAGCGGGCAGAGATTTTCTTTATTTATTTTTCTTGATGACGAGGGAGGAAGGAAGTTGTTTTGCGTGTGAAAGTAGAAGGAGAGCAGGAGATTATAAATGATTTTTAAAATAGGAAAAGATAAAATTATTGTCGCGTGAGAAAACGAGCCACCACCCTCTGCCAATGTTATCCGAACTGACCCCTTCCAATTTATTTGGTCAACATCAACGTGTCCCTCGCCTCTTCGGCACCTCTCCAACTTTTTATACTATCATATAGTAAAATCGTTATAGATTT